AAAAGAATTTGGTTTATAATAAAAGTGATGTTATCAATCAGTGTAGAAAGAAAGTATTAATTCATGATTTGCTGGCTATAATAAATAGTCTGGTTCCCTATTTTATAAAAGAGAAACAGATCCTCGCTAAATAATGCATGCAAAAAATAATACCCATGTGTGTTAGAATTAAATTAGACAAAACTACATATTGCATACCCTGTATTGACCACTGCTGTAGGTGCTTTCCATAAACAAAGTGCTTTGGTCCTCAAACAAGCCTATGAGGTAGGAATGATTATTTCACTCCCACAAAAAGAAAAGATAGAGGTTAAGTAACATTGTCCAAGGTCACACAGCTTGTAAGTGTTCCAACAGCCATCTCAGACTCGACATATCCACAAGCAAATTCCTAATCCTCCCCTTAAAAACATATCCCATCCTCTATCATCTCCTGCTCAGAACATTATTTATTCAGAGTCATCTAGTTACTCAAGCCAAAAATCTCATGGCCATCCTTAACTCTTCTTACATCCTACACTGTGGAAAATTCTGCCAGATCTAAGTTGGTCCACACCGTATTTCCTGGTTTGTTTTATTGACCTAAATGGTCTCCTTGCCTTCACCCTTGCTTTGCCACAGTCTATTCTCAATGAAGCAACGAGAATAATCATTTTTTTTTAAGATTTTATTTATTTATTTGACAGAGAGAGAGACAGTGAGAGAGGGAACACAAGCAGGGGAGTGGGAGAGGGAGAAGCAGGCTTCCCACTGAGCAGGGAGCCCGATGCGGGGCTCGATCCCAGGACCCTGGGATCATGACCTGAGCCGAGGGCAGACTGAGCCACCCAGGTGCTCACTTAACGACTGAGCCACCCAGGTGCCCCTAGAATAATCATTTAAAACATAGATCAGATTATTCCTCCACCTGGAACAGCTCCTCCAATTAATCCTCATACCCATAACTTAACCTTCAGGTCTTTGCCCAAATGCCTCCCTATTACTGAAAAGTATCCTGACAACTTGTTTAAAATTGCAACCCACACACCTCGCTGTCTGCTCCCACTAGCACTTCTAATCTCCATACCCTGTCCTTTGAATCACACTTGAATATTGCATATAATTTACTTATTTAATATGTTTACTATGTTTGGTTTGTCTTCCCTAAACTATAAGTTATACAAGGACAGGATCTCATCTGTTTCATTCTTAGATGTATACTAAGCACCTAGCACAGTGCTTCACACTTAATATAGACTCCATAAATGTTTGTGAATGAATGTTAAGACTGGGATGTCAAACATAGGCAGCATGACCCTATGGAGTTCATAAAATTAATGCTAAGCACTTCTATAAGAAATGAAATTATTAAAACAAATGCTCAAGAAGTTGGTGAACATAAGAGGGGAAAAGGCTCTAGTAATATTAAAATACTAAAATAAGCTATTCAGGGAAAATGTGATAGTTTAAAGCATGTGAGAATTAAATCTTTTTTAAAACAAATAACATTACCCAACATTTTAACAATACATAAAAAATGAGCAATATCCACTATAAATATAAGTAAGTAATGCTCTTATTGTATTAAGAACTATTACAAATCAAATGGGGAAATAGCACTAAAACCCCTATAAATATTGGAAAAGTATATAAACTCACAAGAAAAGAAACAAATAGCAAAGCATAAAAAAGTATGTAAAGGTCATATTTTTTAATAATACAACCCATTACATTGAGATGCCATTCTTCAAAAATAGCGAGTTGACAAAAATATAGACGGAAACGAGGGAAAAGAAGATTATGTATGCCCTGTTTAATGAGGGCTCCATAAAACCTATGTAATATGTATCATGGGCTTTAAAATATTCCTGCATTTTGGTGTAGTGGTTCTATTTCTAAGAATCTATTCTGAGGACAAAATCCGATTGTACAAACAAGTCTTTCAAGGGAATAATACTATAAAAACAAACCACATTTGCAAGACTTGAGAATACTTAAGTATTTCATAGAAATGTATAGTGAATTATTAAAATAAATGTTTAAAAAGAAAACTTAGTAACTTAGACAATACTAACATTTTTTAAAAGGCAGGTGAAAAGCTGTGTTGATAGCATGATCCATGTGGATTAGATCAAAGCCTAGTTACAACTGATGGCAAATCCGGGAAAACTTGGAGCAGGAACCACTGTCTATCTACAAGGCAAGTTGAGCGACCTCAAGCCCTTTAGTGAGGGATTTTGGGTGATGCCTTGTGCAGGATAAGGGAAAGTCCTGGTAGTACAGATAGAAGGCAGGTCACATGGGCTTCAAAGACAATGCCCACCTTTTCCCCAAATTTGCCTAAGAAAAAGCCATTGTCATGTCTCTGATGATAGCATACATTATATACAGATATACAAAGTATTACCACCACATAAAATAATGACTGTGATACATGTACAGAACAACCATTTTCCAAATACCTGTCTGTGATTGCCTCCAAGTCTGAGATACAGCTGCTTTGGAAGAAAGTGCTTCACACACTACATATCAGCTCCTAAGTGGAAGTATCATTTCAGAAATTAAGTTGAAAGTTGAGTTCCTAATACAGCTGGAATTCCAGCTCCACGATATACTTAAGCTGTGAATTGGCATTGCAGAGAATTGTTTTACTATTATGTCTTGGGTCACTTGTCTCTTGCTAATTTCAAAACAAGAGTGCTTTCTTGTTTTTCTAACTAAGGTACTAAAAAGAAATTTCCAGTAAATATGTAACATTTCCTCATAAATTTCTTTGGCGTCAACGAATTGCATTTTCAGTGAATTGCATTTTCAGGTTTATGGAATGATGCCAAATTTGTATTTTAAAAATGTAAACAAAAACCACAAACAAACCTTCCTCCTTCTATTCCTGATGACCTTAGTATACAGAGTTCACTGTGTTGTTTAAATAGATTTCAAATAATTTTCCTGTAATTGCTATTCATTTTAGTAGGTGGCATGAGGTTAGCAATCAATAATCACCTGAAACTGTTGAAAACAGGCTCCAGGATCAATAGAACATTCTTCTTCCCATGGAAACACAGCTCACTCAGATGGCTGTCCTCACTGTTCCTTTCTGTTTTGTATTTATTGTAGATTCACAGGCACATTTCTTATGGAAAAAACAACTTAAGGAAATAGACAAAATGTCTCTCACCAACCTCGTGACAGGAATGGAATTTTGTTACAGAAAACATATCCTTAGAGAGGTAGGAGGAGATACACAATTTGGTACAGATGCTAAGATTGCAAAGTAAAGTTCTTAATTTCTAATCAATAGCTATGTGTTGTCACTGGTCCACTTTCTTTTAAATGTATTTTAAAATATATTATAAAGACATATACTTATCTCGGTAAGTGTAATTCTACTAGGGGTTTATTTTTAAAGACACACTGACACAGAATATGCAAAATTTTGTTTATCTGGCTGAGACAAAAGATTACATCAATAATTGTTAGCTTTGTTTTTATTTTCTTAGGCACTAAACATTTCAGTTACTGATGATGAATAGGAAGATGAATTATTTCCTGAAAAAATATAAAAAAATTTACAGTTGTATTGCATAAAACAGATTTTCATATATATCCCCCCTTGTTAAATAGAAAGCAGACTTGTGTTTATTACAAAGTTCATTACCATGTCTACAGATAGATGTGTTCTTGCATATTTTATAAAATATGGCTTCATCATTTAACATTAAGAAAACTAAACAAAACATTTAAAGATGTCAATGTATTTTTGTGGTTAAGAGTAAAAAGAGATTCAGGAAAGAAGGGACTCCTTTTGTTGTTCTTGCCTTTGTTTTCTGGAGAGCTATAATAGGAACCAGTTCAGTTTTTTGGAAGGGATGATCTAGAGGTAGTGCTCCTAAAAATTTAGAACCCCTGTCAAGGCTGAGCTTGACATAAACACAGGAGATGAGTAGTAAACTAGAGAGAAAGAGAAATTTAGAAATAAGAAAAGTGATTTAAAAGAAAAAAAGCGGCATGCACATAACACACGTGGGTGAACTCTAGCGATATTCTCTTTACTCCTGTAAATATTCCCAAAAAAACCCTCAACTCATGTGAACTAAAGAGGAAAGGAAAAAAAATGGAAAAAAAAAAAACAAAAAAACCCCACCAAACCCAAGAAGGAAATTTAATTTTGCGCTTTGGAGTCTGCGTGTGAGTGCCGGCTTGCCGCCTACCCTTGGCTCCCTTGGGGAATGTTCCTTGGGAAGAAACTGGTGCTGCTCTCAGTCCACTCAGCACTGATTCCCAGAAGGTGTAACATCGCGTGGCTGGGACGGGAAGAAAGGGTTGCCACTCATCTGTTGCACAGCCCGAAGCTAGAGCAGGCGGCTGCTGAGCCGCGGTCTGCGACCCACCGCTCACCCCCGGGCTTTTGGAAAGTAAAGGAAATCAAGTAGAAACCGCGGGTCTCAAGCGGATAATCCTTAGCTAAGATTCCGCATGGACGCCACTCTTTATTTTACAAATGGACTCTCAAGTCATGGGGCCGTGACCAACTAAGGCTCCGTGAGTCACAAGCTGGGAACCACCACGTCGCATTTACAGCAAGTAAGTTACTGCCAACTTTACCAATATATGTCATTTGCTCTCAGCACTTTAGTCTTATTTTAGTGTGTGAACTCCAAAGAGATTGGCCAAGAGATAACTTTCATCCTGAAATCTCAGTACTCTGATGCGAGCATCACACACACTCACACGCACGCGCGCACGCACACACACACTCCCACACACTCTTTCCCCACCTGAAGCCACCGAACCTCGCGCTCCTAGGCTGGTGCGTGTTTGGGGTTTTATTTAATATTTGGAAACTTACTGAGTTCCTATGCTTGTTGGAAAGACCGAGCTGGGTGGGGGTGGATGGAACACTGTGCCTCATCATTTATTCATTGCGACTGTCTCAATTGTTGACACTAGGGGCAAGCCGCATACTCCGGCTCTTGCAGGGGAAGTCTGACACCTTGAGGACGGGAGAGGGGGTGCCGGGAGCCCGGAGGAGCCGGAGCGGGAGAAGCTTTGAGAGTTCCCGGGTAGGGGGTTACTTTTTTCAAGTCGGGCGACCTGCCGCCTGGGTGCTTGTTGACTGGTTTGGGAGCAGAACGTTCAGAAGCCGGGTGCTGGCGCGAACTGAAGTCTGACATCTCTGCAGAGCCCGCCCAAAGACCGGAGGTGTGTCTGGCCGGCACCCAGGACCACACGGTGGGTTCTGGCCACTGACTTGGCTGGCCGACGGCCGGCTTGTGGTGAGCCCGCCTGCCCAACTGGCTGACCTCAAGGAGTTGGCCCAGGGAGGCGGCGGCTGTTTGGGGGCAGCGGAGCCGGGAAGCCAGCCAGCGTCAACGCCCGCCCGCGCACGGGTCCCCTCCACGGCCACGCAGAGCAGGGCGTGGGACGCGCATCTTCACCGGCCGTCCCTACCCAGCAGGGTCTGTGCGGACCCTGAGTCAGGCAGCCGCCCGGGACGGAGGGCGGGTATCTTCCTCTCAGCTCATCCGCTGTCAGCCGTGGGAACGCTAACTTTATCCCGAGGGATCTGTGGGGGCGGGGGTGGGCGAAGTTCTCCTCCCCGGGAGCTCACCTCCCTCTCCGGGGCTGCCCCTCCCCCGCCTCCCATGGCACCGCTCTCAGAGCATCCTCACTCCGCCCAGTTCGGTGCCAGCTGCGTGGGCTCTAGCTTCATGCGTTTTCCTTGGAATGCTCCAAAACTCGGCAGCGACTAAGGAAATCCCATTGGAATTTGCCGGGCGTGCTCTCACCGGGCACAGCACCCGGGCCGCATGTCCTTGGATCGATCGCTCTTCAGCCAGAAGATTGCCAACTTTGCAGGTAAAGAGGGTGTCGCCTCAGAGCTCCATTTGACCGGAGCTGCACCTCGCCTCCTTTCTGGGATCTCGGTTAAGTTTCTCAAGCTGCCTGGGAAGCCGGCTCCCTCTTGGGAAGCGGACATCCCTGGGGGGTTACGAGTTCAAAAGGCTCCGGCTGCATGGTTTCTCTTTAAGGCTCCAGACCGGATTTGTGAAGCTTTCTGTGGTTGACCTGGGCTGAGCGGGAGTTTGGGGATGCTTCTCAGCCTCTCACTGCACCCAGCTTTAAAGCAGGGGAGAAGGCGAGGAGTGAACCCCTGATGTGACTTATATGGTAAACAAAGCAGCTGCAGCCACGCCACGGTGCTGGGGAGGAAGGCTGTTTTAGCCTTTTATGCATTTGGGGAAAATGGAGATCTTGGTGGCCCCTGGGCGTATATGAGTGAGCCCTAGACTCGCTGGCTCCTAAACTGGGGGAATGAAGAAAGGAAAGTGATCAATGTCCTGTCGATCGATTACACTGCGTCATTTTCATTCTCTATCAAGAAACAGAAACACTTTATCCGTGTTGCTGGACCAACGCTAGGGATTCCGAGTTCGCTTGGCAACTGAAATTCCAATTAAGCCAATAGACCCTGTTTGCTACTTGGGTAAATCACTGAGATTCACAGCACAACTTGTTGTTCCAGCTGTGAACTCATCTGCCTTTTGTGACTAGAGACTAGAGAACACTGGCAAGGGATGGAGGATTTGGGGGAGTTTGAAAAAAGGGAGCTCTTATCTTGTCTGTATTCACTATGTTGGGTCCCCTATGATGCATCCTTGTTCACATGGTTTCTTAGGGAGACCCTTCCCAGTTAAATTCCACAGCTATAAAATGCAGCAAGTTGCTCACTGCTCACTGAGTAAGCACCAAGCCAGAGGAGTGGGAGGAGGCAGAAGCAAGGCTTACTTGTTTTATTAAAAAATGAATTTAGAATAGACTTGTAAAACTGAAAAAAATCTTTCAGGTTTCATATAATTTCTGGCTTTTCGATCATAATAATCACAACAGAACATATTACAAATTCTTTAAGGAAAATGGTTAACTAAAGGTTTTTTTTAAAAAAAATAAAACTGAATTAGACAATGAGAGTAAGAAAGAGTGGGTGGATATGTTACAACATTGAAATCGTCATCTCTGTGTTATGGTTTCCTATTTAATCTGACATTTGTAATACCTACTTCTACTCACCTGGACAGCATACCAGGAAACATTTCCCCTCAAGTATTTATGGCAAAGAATCAAGATACAGGGATAACTAGTACTTCAGATATTAGAATCAAAATTCAGGAAAGATATTGTTAAAGAAGCACTTTAGAAACTGTATTTATGAATTAATGCAGTTAAGGCAAATCAGTACATCACGTAGAAGTTAAATGGGCTTTATCAAAGTATTTTATGCTAATGTCTTGTATTAATAAAAGTTAGTGCAGGTAGAAAGAAAGAAAACACTTACATTGCTTATGAATAAGAAACCATAGAGCTGGAGAGCCTTTCAATAAAGCTCTGATCAGGGGCGCCTGGGTTGCTCAGTCGTTAAGCATCTGCCTTGGGCTCAGGTCATGATCCCAGGGTCCTGGGATCGAGCCCTACATCGGGCTCCCTGCTCGGCGGGAAGCCTGCTTCTCCCCCTCCCCCCCCCCCTGCCTGTGTTCCCTCTCTCGCTGTGTCTCTCTCTGTCAAATAAATAAAATAGAATCTTAAAAAAAAAAAAAAAAGCTCTGATCAGAGCTCAGCTATTCTGCAAACTTGCTGTTGTGAAGAGCTGAAAAATTTATGCCAAGAAAGTTACCCTCCAAAAGAAACAGGGACTGGTTAATGAGACTGATACACAAGAGGTGCTTAATATTCAAGTGAATAAATATAATGAATATACTGTTAGATCAATAGATAGTTCAAATAAGGCATAGTGAGAAGATGTGTGATTGCAAATTTAGAAAAGTTCTTCCTCTTAAGAACTTAAAGAAACACAAGCATTCATCAAAGCAGAAAGTATTTATTAGAGCTCAACAGATAGAAGAAATGTCTCTTTAGTAAAACCTTTCAATTATTGACAATGTTTCTAAAACTCTCTGATTTTGGAAAATAAGATGTTTTCCATTTACTTGCTTAATGGTCGTTCTCAAAGATTTATAAAAGGTAAAATAGATTTCCATTAGTTACAAGCTATAAAATTTTGTAATTTTTATGTTGTTTATTTTTCTGTTGTAGTTATTCCCAGAAGGTCAAGATTAAAATGCACAGAAAAAAAAAAAAAACTATGAGAAAATTAAAGTTCTCTGTGAATTTTATGGCCACTTTGACTGTTGAAATAGTAAGAGACCAAATAACTTTCCATGTAAGATAACCTTAATTAACTCATACTTTACATAAATAAGAAATATCTGAAACATTGCTATTATTACTTCTGCTTAGGAGAAATTTAAATATCTTGTATATCTTGTTCAGCACACACATTTTAAACTTTTAAACTTAAAGCCTGTTATAAGCACGATAAATTTCTGTTGAAGTATAATAATAATAGCCTTTAGGGTATGCTGACTAACCCCACTGAATTAAAAAATATTTTTATAAGTATATTGTTGAGAATATTGGCATGTTTTTATAACTGTATGTTTAATTCCCAGGATAATTTATGGCAGTTCAGATTATCAACATTACATTTAACAGCTAACAGCTGAAATAATCTATCTTTTCTAATTACTTCATATATAGTAACACAAATAAAGATATACACACATATGTTCAGTAGTTAAAATTGTGAATATCAGTGCTCAAAGACGTGAGAGATTTTGTAAATATAGATATACAAAATTTGCTGAACAGTATAGCCAGGGCAATAAAACTGTGGACTGAATATTTTCTTATGAAAAGATGATTGTTTTATTGTTTAAAACAAGCTAGGTGACAGGAAATATAATAAATGATTAAGTCTTTCTTTTCCAAATTCATTATTGCCAAACATTTTATGAGATCAGATTCTAATGTACATCTTTACTTTCTACTTTGTATTGTCTGGGCTAAGTTGAAGCCAATACTATTCACCTTCTTAATATCTATGGAAAACCTCCCATAAGCATTTTGGTTGTCGCTGAAAATGAGATTGAGGAGACAGCTCAGAATAAAAGACTTGTCTTTTCACCTAATTTATGCCTATCACCTCCCCACCCCAAATACACATTAAAACTGGTTAATTCAACCCCAGTTCCATTGGATAGTTGCTTCTATCTAGTGGTGATGAAATATTGCTTCAAAACTCTTTCCTGTCCTTATGATGTCTACTTCTAATCCTCCCAGATGCAACGAGATCTCAATATTTTAAGAGATTTGAGAATATTTTGATCAGGGATCGAGTAGCATGCCTATATCTTTTTAATCAGCACAAATACAGACCTGATCTCTGAGAACATTAGTACTGCCAAAACCACTCTACGACGAAAAAATACATTTGGAAAAAGAAGGCATTCATTTGCTAAAATAAAAATTAAAGACATGCTTTGAAAATATACCAATTTAAAACTACATTGTTCTCTGAAGTCTCTGGTAAATGAAGTGATCTATTTAAATTTTTTACAAATCTCAGTGATCCTTCTGAAAGTTCAGTTTCAATTAAATAGGATACAAAAAAGAGATAATGGTTTCAGTACTGGATCTGCTCTTGTAACTAAACTGTAGATGACATCCCATTATTATCAGTGTACGTTTTGTCTCCTTTTAAAAAATGTTTCCTTTGAAATACAGCAGTGTCATAGAGTAATGGCTTCTTGAGGAGCAAAAGATGACACAGGCACAGTTTTACACATACAATTAGAAATGTTAATTAAAACATTAATTTAAAAATACGCCTTGATTGCTTTATCTAGCACACTGCACTCTTTTTGAGAAATGGCAAGTGCAGTGAAATAAATCAGAAATGCGTTCATTATATTCTGCCTGTAGTTTGCTCTTGTATTGTTTAAATATGTTGAAAACGTCAACATAAGTAATTTCCTTGAACAAATTTCATCAAAAGTTAAAACTTGCTTAAGACAGAAAACAGGAAGTATTATGAACAAAGGAAAGGAGAAAAAGAGAGGGGGCCAATATTTATGGGTACTTAATGTGTGCCAGGCACTATGCTAGGAACTTAAAAAAAGTTTTTCTCATGTTTATTTTCACATCTACTTTAAAACCGAAGTATCATTGCCACCTTTTGAAGAATCTGAAAATACTAAATTTCTAAAAAATAACAAAGCTGCTTTGTGGCAGAGTCAGGATTTGAACCCTTGTTTACTTGATTCTAAAACTGACACTCTTTTTACCTAATTCTTACGGTTTCTAAAATAAAATTAGTAATCTCTTAACAAGATTCATATGTTCATGCTATTCCTACAGCTATTTATTTCTTTAATTCTTTGAATGTTTTAACATTGGGACATAAACTACCCCATTATGAATTATGAAACAATACTCTGTTAACTAAAGCTCTAACAGTTTTGAAGCAGAGCAGAAAGTAAGCCTCTCACCTCAAGCAGGTTGTTCTCAAAATTATTTCCTTTCTTCTTCTTGAATATAAAGGTAATATGTATGGAAAGAAAAAAAGGTTTATTTTTATGGATAAAATTTGAGGTTATAATTTTTTCCTTTAAAGAGTCATTAGATTACAATTTGTAAATAAAAAGTTCTCATTCCAAACTTTAAAACAGCTCTAGGCTGTTAATAAACTATCTCTGTTTATAGAAAATGCAATCATGTTAGGACATGTTAGGTTTATATTGCATCTTATTGATGCTATACAAAACTTCTAGACAAGTGTTTTTGTCTTAATTTTATCTGAAATCTTATTTGCCTAATTATTTTTAATGTTCATTGGTATTTTATCAGGGGAGCTTTCATTCAGACATCCCAGAAGGCATCTATCAGCTGGTAACACATTTTAAGAAATTTGCCACTTTTTTTTTTTTCCAGAGATATACCTGCAGTTAAAACAAGTGTGATTG